ACGCCCCCCCGCCAGTCATAATTGGAGCCGTTGAGATGTCGGCTTCTTCCTCCTGCAAATGCCAGCTCTTGTCACGCAATAAAATATAGCAACTCGCCCATTCATCAGGTCATTTTCACCGCCTATATATATAAACAAACAGACACAACATTTTGAAAAATATTAGATTGCCCAATAGACTTAGAAGTAGAAAATTTGAAGTATAAAGATGGGGAAAATATTCCATGTTGATAATTGGACGTACAGATGACCTGAATTTTACCGTACCATATGCGATGATCTAATCTATCGTTCAGATGTTCAGCTGGTAGACATAAAATTTTCTCTTAAAAATGAGACAATTTTTATCATGTAGAATTGTTTTTGTTGTCTGGCTACAATCTTTATATTATTTCAATGGCGGCAGTTGGTTTGTTGCATGAGCTTTTCACCATTGCTTCAGAAGTATTTTGGTTTTGGACCTTTGGTTATGGTAGGTTTGCTTTTTGGGATCACAGCTTGCTCAATTTTGTCTCACAGATAATGTGTGTGTGTACATATATACATGCATGCATACATATATATCTAAATACATACATATATATCTAGATACACACACACACACAAACATATATATATTGAAAATTTTCTTCATCTGACACAAATATCGATGGATGATACAGATCTTGAGACAATCTTTTGAGCAAGAAACATTCAAACTTCAATAAAGAGTCATCCAAAGCTTTGATTTCAGTAAATTTTTAATTAAATTGATTGGCTCGTTGAGAAGGACCTAATGGTACTAAAATTGTTCTAATCCAAGTCAAACCGAATCCCGATCAAGCCATTAAATCATTTTTGAAAGTTTTCTGGACAAATTTGAAAGTTCAAATAAATTTTGAATCGAGCGAACATATAATCGAATCGTGCGTCTTGACAAGAAAAATCTAACAAGCCGAAGATCACTCAATTCCAACATCATTTAGGCATTCAAATGCTCATCAAACGTCTTCTAATTAAAGGAAGTTCGTCAGACCATCCGATCAAATCTGTTTATATTTTAATATTAATTGCACATGAAACTCTATAAATAGAGCTTTAATATCTAATCAAGAGGGGATGAGAGCTTGAGACTTGAGGAAGGGATTGAAGCATTGAAAAGGAGTTGAAGCCCAGCATTATTCCTATCGCTATCAACCACTACCAACAACCGTCGACGATGCTATCGATGATTGCCAACTGTCGTCAATCACCATCGACCGCCGTTGACCGCTGCCAATCGTCTTTGACCACCGTCGACCGGCGTTGACCACCACCAAACACCGTCGACCTCAATCTGTGGCTGCAACCGATCGCAATCAGTAGTCATCTGTTCCTTGCAACAAGTTCGTCTGCATGTCGACATTGTAATTTGAAAGCTTTGTAACGTAATTTGAAATTTTTGTACCTCTTCCCCGCCAATGAAATAACAGATCTCTGTAATTATCAAATTATTCTGGATTTTATAACTGGGCCAGTCCCATGATTTTTTTTTATTTCTGTATTTTCCACATATAATTTCTGATGTCACTACTTGTTGTTTTCTTCTATCTGAGTGTGTACTGAATATTCATGTCATACTAAATCGACACTCTATTACTCTGTTGTCTTGAATTTTCTAACACCCATCAAATCCTATACACAAGTGTGACATTAGTGATAACTTATTGTTCGCTATTCTATTGTATTCTCTCTAAGCTCTTTTTTAATAGTCTGAATATCACCTACAAAATATTATCCTCTGCGAAAAGAATTGTATTAATGCATCAAGACCACAAGTCATTTGCACAAAATTATTTAAAAAATAACTTATGATTTTTGCATAAATATGCCATGTAGCTATTACAAATTGTCTTATTAATTATCAAAAAAGGAGTTCCTAATATAAACTTTTAATCTGCATATTATTATTATTATTATTTAGCAGAAAGCAAATAGTGTAATTTTGTACTTTCTTGTGCGTTCTTCTCTATGGGCCTTCACAAACGATTTGCGTATTATCTCTATCGTATCTTTATTGTTTTATTATTCAAAGTGGCGGTGAGCTTCTTCACAGATCTTGGCTCCTTATTCAACACTTTGTTATGGACCCACCCTCACTGCTTTCAGAATCCGCTGTGACAATCGCTTAATTAAACGCACTTACGCCCCCCACAACTTCCAAATATTTAATTCTCATCTGTAAACTTGGACAAAATTTTCAGTATGTAACAGAGGTTCGGACTTTCACTGTATCGCTGCATCTCGTTCGTTGTCCGCACATAGACAGAAAAATCGCTTGTAAACTTGACTGGACGAGTAGCCAAAAAGCAGAGAGCCCAAAAGATCAGAATAAGTACTTTGTGGGTGCAGAAACTGATCCTTTTTAGAGCTGCTTCATTTAAGTGAGATTCAAAGCTGCATGAAGCCATGTGAGCTTCTTTTTCCTTTTCAACTTTGGAGGTCATTTCATTTATCGCGCCTTGATTCAGAAGCATTTGGTAGATCATGAGCGTATATTTGGTGTCTCCTATTGATTTGGTTTTATTTTGGATAAATCCAAAATTATTAGTTTTTTATTATTTCAATATAATGCATGCTTTTGCTGTATGGTTTCATGATTCTGTGGATTTTCTTGCAAAAAAGGGGAAATAGAAACTTTCTATTTTTTAGAATTTTTTTTTTTTGTAAGATTTATATCCATATCACCCGATTCTTATGTATTTACTATATAAATATGCCACTTTTTAAATGCATTAAAAAGTGTGGTTTACTTTATGAAATGATGATAATTTTGATGTGATATCAATGATTCAAGTGGTATAAATGTAAAGAAAATTAAAATTTGGTAGTAAATATGTAAATACATAAGAGTTGGCTGGTATATATGTAAATGCCCCCTTTTTTTTTAACAATTGGGATGTTGATATTAAACTATATAGACCTCTCAAACAAATATAAAAAAAGCGACAAATTAAGAGTGCTCTTTTTTTTTTTAATAATGTTATCATGAAAAATTAAAGGCCAGTTGGGTCCCGTTTGGTTGATAACAGTTAATGAAAAATAATTTAAAGAAATGAATTCATATATATATATTCATATATATATAGTAATTTAAAACTGGTTTTGAATTTAATTTTTATAAGAGCTCTAAAATTTTTTTGAATTTAATAATTTTATTTTGATGTACAAAATAAGCGTCACACACATAGTATCTTGTGTGTGTGTGTCTATATATATATATATTAAAAAGATTGGAGGAGAGATTAACCTCAATCATTCTTAGGTGTGCTAAATATTAGAGTACCACACCCTAAACACGAGGTGATTTGAACTTGAGGGGACTTACAACCTTCAGAGAAGTTGCTCTACCAACAGCCCACGGTCATAAGAATTGAATGGTATGTACGCAAATACCCCTTTCTATATATATATATATATATATATATATATATGAGAGCACACGTGCGTACAGTGGTATGCTAGTAGAGTACTCTCTATTAGGGTCGTAAGTTTTCTCAAGTCAGAGGTTCAAATTCCCTTGTGTGTAGGGTGAGATTCTCGAATATTTAGCATAGCTATGAATAGTCTGTGCTCGTCAAATAGTCTATATCTTAAAAGAAAGTCGATTTAATTTAATTTATGTACGACACTTTTAAGCAAATTTAAAAAGATTTAAACCCATGTTCTCTTATTTTAAGATAATAATATCTGCAAATAAATAGGTATTTCTTCTCAAATAATAAAAAAATGCATCTTTTGAAAGTATAAATTAGTGCAGGGTATTTTATATTTCACCCTTTATCATTTAAA